TGTGCTTTATCTGGAGCTCCTGGCACTTAGTGGGCATGCATCATGGAGTGTGCCCAGCATACAGTAGACATGCTTTACGTACAACACTTAGCATATGGCAGACAGTATTTGCTAGAGTACTTGACGTACAGTGGATGCACTTTATATAGCACACCTGACACACAGTAGGCACACTTCATATAGTGCACCTGACACACAATAAGCATGCTTTTTATTTTTAAAAATATATATTTTATTGATTTTTTACAGAGAGGAATGGAGAGGGATAGAGAGTCAGAAACATTGATGGGAGAGAAACATCGACCAGCTGCCTTTCATACACCTTCTACTGGGGATGTGCTGGCAACCCGGGACCCTTCAATCTGCAGGCCGATTCTCCATCCACTGAGCCAAACAGGTCTGGGCGAAGCATGCTTTTAAAATTACCTCTCCACACAGTAGGCACATTCTGTGGAGAGTAGTTGGCACATAGTAGATGTGCTTTGTATAGAGCACCTGGCACATAGTAGGCACACTTTATGTCGAGTACCTGGCACTGAGTATGAACGCTCTTTGAGGTCTCCAGTACACAGTAGGCACACTGTACTCACAATCTTTTGAGCCTAGTGGCTTTGCTTTCCGTGGGGCACTGTACACAGCAGCACAAGTACTAGCTGTCAGCTCATTCCCTTCACTTCAACCCTTTTGGGGCTCCTAATCCTTCCCTCCTTCCTGTGTAACCCTCCTCTGTCTGTCTCCCCCTCAAGACCTCATTTACCATCCCAGATGGAAGACTGATCGCAGGGGGGAGGGAGGGTGGGTCAGCACAGCCATCATTCAGAGCGAGCGAGCGAGGACAGGGTTAAACTCACTCTGCGTCCCCCAGTCTGCCCTCCTCTGTCAGGACCCCTCAGACTTAACCCACCTCTCCCCTCTGGCTCCTTCTCACCCTGAATCCGATGGGACAGTTTCCAGCTGGGCTGTTTGCTGGTTTCTCCTCACAGCAGGCGGGTCTGGGTGAGGAGGCAGGACTCTAATTCCTGACAGGCTTCGGCCTCTGAGTTTCATGACTCTGAGCCAATTAACTGCACCATGAGCGCTGGGCCGAGAAGCTGTGCATGCCATGCTCAGAGGGAGCAGCTCGGCAGATGTTCTGGACAATTCAACAGTGAAGTTCAAGCTTTTGCCCACCGCACCCTGGTCTCGAGAGGGAAGGGGAGGCAGTAGCCTTGGGGGCTCAGAGTCAACTTTGCCTGCCCCCAACCTACCCTTGACCCCTCTGGGGGGTGCTGAGTCCCAATGACCCAGTGTTCACCCTGCGTGACCCTGAGCAATGTTGACAACATTGAAGCCTCCTCCCCACCCTCTGCTTGGGCCAGGGCCAGCTGGGGTGGAGATAAGCAGGTGCTTGGGGATTGGCTGGTTTGGCCCAGCCTCTCCTGGCCTCCCCCAGGTCAGACACGGGGTCAAAAGACTTCCCAGAGGAGGGGAGAGGAGGTTGTGTGGAACTAGCTGCTCCAGTCTCGGGTGTTTGTGTGTGTGTGTGTGTGTGTGTGTGTGTGTGTGTGAGCTGAGGGTCCTGGTCCAGGGTGGGGAGAGGTGTTGCTCCAGGCAGAGCTGGCCTGGGAGTTGGGTGGATAACAGTGGGTAATTTAACTCTGTTTCCCTCTTTTTGTCTGTCTCTCTCTCTCTCCCCCTCTCTGGCTCTTCCTCTGTATTTCCCTGGGTGTCCCTTCCCTCCCGAGCCCCCATCCACCCATCCCTGAGCCCTCCCTGTCCTGTCCCCAGCATGCACCTGGTCCTCCCTGACCCTGTTCCACACCCCCTCTCCCTCTGTAGGCGGGCCTCTGCCCCTGAGCTTCCTCATTACGGTTCCCGGTCCACGTCCTAGGCCTCAGGAGCTCACCCTCTGCCTGCCCTGCAAGATGCTGCAGCTGAGCCTGTCCTGGCTGGGACTGGGGCCACTGGCAGCCTCCCCGTGGCTACTCCTGCTGCTGCTGGGAGCCTCCTGGTTCCTGGTCCGCTTCCTGGCCTGGATCTTCGCCGTCTATGACACCTCTCTTCGCCTCCGATGTTTCCCACAGCCCCCAATGCGGAGCTGGTTTTGGGGTCACCTGGGCATGGTGAGTGTGGGCAGCCAAGTGGGTCTTGGGTATTAGGGTAGATGGACTCCCCAAGGGACTGGCAATGGGGCTTAGGGGTTGGGCTAGGGTCTAGGACAGCAGAGAAGTGAGGGGGGTTAAAGGGACCCCCTCTTTTCTCACTCATTCCTCCACTCTACCATCCCAGGCCTTCTCCACATCCTTGCCCTCTCCCTGCTTTGGGTCCATTTCCGTCTGCCTCCCCCACATTAGTGCACCTCTGAGGGGGTACCAGGGTGGGCTGCACAGAGCTAGGCCCCCCAGGACTCCCGGTGTCCACAGCGAGCCTTCAGACACGGCAGGGGCACTGTCCAGGGTTTGCTCCCTGTCTGTCTGCTCACCCCCACCCACAGGGGCACAGCTCCCCGTCTCCTCCCCGTCCTGGCTTACCGTCCCCTCACCTTCCTCTTCTCTCCCAAGATGTCTCAAGGGGCCTGTTGCCCAACCTGGCTAAAGTTGGCCACTCATTTCTCTTTTTGGAAGCCTTCTTAAACTCCTCCCACACCCCAGACTTTGACCTTTGGCTTGGTCCTGCTTCTTTTTAATTGTACAGTTTAATTGTCTGATTACTTCTTATCTGGGTCTCCAGCTTGACGGGGAGCAGGCAGTCTGCCTGCAGCTCACAGCCCGGGGCTGGTGCACAATGTTTGAGTCCCGAAGTGGTGAATTTGCCGTCACCCCTCCCCGCTTCAGTCAAGGCCAAAGGGATGGATATCCAGCTCCCCACGGCCCTGCAGCTTTCCTATCCTGCCTGGAATGAGAACTAGCCTGGGGAAGGACAGCCTGTGATTTTGCCGCTCACTGTGGCCAACTTCACCCGAGGACATTCCCAAGCTCAGCCTGAGATTCTGGGTCTTGGGATGGAAGTTACCGCCGTTCCACCTCCCCCTCGGCAGCTCAGCTGTGGGCGCTGGCCTCCCTGCTCTGTCTCCTCCAGCCCCTCTTGCTGTGTGACCTCAGCTGAGTCACTCTCCCTTATGGACCAAGCTCATCATGAGTCCTGCCCTCTGGGTCCTTGGGGGTCAGGGGGCAGGTCACTCGGGTGAAAACAGGTATGCTCACCTGTCTGGGGCACCTGGGGGATTTGTCAGGCTTTATTTTTATTTTTGTTTTTTAAAAAAATATATTTTATTGATTTTTTTTACAAAGAGGATAGAGAGTTAGAAACATCGATGAGAGAGAAACATCCATCAGCTGCCTCCTGCACACTCCCCACTGGGATGTGCCCACAATCAAGGCACATGCCCCTGACAGAACCAAACCCGGGACCTTTCAGTCTGAAGGCTAATACTCTATCCACTGAGCCAAACCAGTTCGGCTGTCAGGCTTGGATGGGGCATCCTGAGGGACTGAGGGGATCACCAGAAGGGGACCTGCCCTCCTTCCCTTTTGGGGGTGTGTGGCCTCCGTTTCTTCATTTGTAAATAGCATGATTGATGGGCAGGGCCATAGGTAGAAGAGAGATAGATAGACAGGACGAACTATGACAGGTAGGTAGATAATAGGTGATAGATAGACAGACAGAATCCACTATTAGGTAGATAGATAGGTAGATGCACAAACTGACAGACTTGATGCACTATGTTAGATAAAAGCTAGATAGATGATAGATAGATAGATGACAGATAGATGATAGATCGATAATAGAGAGATGATAGATGATAGAGAGATGATAATAGATAGATGACAGATAGATAGATAGATAGATAGATGATAGATAATAGATACATGATTGATAGATAGGTAGATGGTAGATAGGTAGATGAGGCAGGATGCATTATACACGGAGCCTGGCTGGCAGAAGGGGCTGAAAGGTGGGAAACGCCCTCCTGATTGATGAGCAGAGTTCACACCTGCCCCTGGGAATCTGGTGGGAGAGGACCTGTCCTCTCCCTGTGCCCCGGGTGCACCCTGACGGCTGGGAAGGCCTCCAGAACCCACATTCAGGGGGAAGGAGCCATGAGGGGGGAGGAGCAGAAGGAAGCAGGTTATCCCATCCAGGCAAAACCCGGACACACTCTCCATTGCAGAGGCTGCAGGGGCGCCTGCTGTGGCTCCTTTGAGGCGTGACCATCCTGCCTTGCTTTCAGGTCCTCCCCACAGAGCAGGGCATGAAGGACATAACTCAGCTGGTGGCCACCTACCCTCAGGGATTTTTGAGCTGGCAGGGCCCCGCCATCCCCCTCGTCATTCTGTGCCACCCTGACATGGTCCGGGCTCTCACCAACGCCTCAGGTACCCACACTGAGCTGCTGGTGGTGGGTGCCCTGGCACAGCGGGGGCTTCCCGCCCCTCCCTGCCACGCTTCACTGCGGCTGCTGCAGGACTTGGCCCTCTCCCCCTCCTTCCTCTCAGCATCTTCCTCCTTTTCCCCACGTATTCAAACCTGCATCTCACCACCCCCTCCCCGTCATGCCATCTGCTTCTGACCTGGTGTCCTGGGCACCCCTGCGCCCCGAGAGGCTTCCCTCCAAGGTTCTGTCTGGAGCAGGAGCTCCCGGTCTTGAGGAGCCGAATCAGGATGAGGGACCCCCGACCCTTGACCTGGTGTGGTCCGGATTGGCCAGAGGCAGGATAAGACAGCCCAGGAGACAAGCAGGGTCTCTCCTGGAGGAGGAGCTGCTGGAACTGGGTCTGGAACTAGGAGGAGGATGTTTTCAAAGCAGAGGGCAGAGCAATGCAGTGCGCACTGCTAGCATCCCAGGCCTGCCCCCGCGCCTCTCCCTCCAGGCCCAGAGCAACGAGGGCTTGCGATTTCTGCGGTGCCCACCGCTGGTGGGTCTGTTCCTTCTACCCCATCCTCCAGCTCCTCCAGGAATAGCCCCAAGGAGAGCCCATCCCCGCCTGGGTCTTGTCCTTTGTGTTCCTCCACTCTTCTCACCACCAGAGAGCAGAGGCCGGGCCGGGGACAAGGCAGGATGTGTCAGAGGGCCGGGCTCTGACACCAGCATTCTGGTGACCCTGGTTCTCGTTGACCCGCTGAGGTCTCTTGCAGCTCTGAGTGGTGGAAACTCAACCCTGTGTGGTCTAAGCCAAGGAAGGGACTCCATGGATGGTCCCGTCCACGGATGTTGCCTTCAGGCACAGCTGGATCCAGGTGCCCAAGAAGGTCCTCAGGAATCTGTCTTCACTTTTTTGGTTCTGTTTTCCTCTGTGAGCCCTTCACTCTCATGCTGGTTAAGATGAATCCCAGAAGTCCAACCCCCCCGTGGAAAAGTGAGCGTATTCCCAACAGTTCCAGGAAAAGCTGCAGGATTCACTCTAATCTCCCTGGCTACCTCGACTTCCTGTCCTACCTCACCCCCGATGGACAGGGACAGTTCCCCACTCAGTCACTGCCACTCTCATGCCCCATCATGGCAGGCATAGGGTTCTCAGAGTCATTGTTTTTGGAGTTCAACAAAGTTCAGTAGTTAAGGACGCAGGTCCTGGATTCAGACAGGCCTGGGCTCAGGTCTCAGGCTTCCCACCTACTGTCTGGGAGACCACGAATAGGTGACATTTGCTCTTCAGAGCCTCCGTTTCCTTATGTAGAAAATGGACAGAAGAGAAGCCAGGTGAACGTGGTGCCTGGAATCCAAGTGAGAAAAGACCTCCAGTGCTGAGCATTGAGGGAACAGGGAGGGGCCCCAGGAGGAGGAGGACCTCCTGGATCAGAGTCTTCTCTTGGCCACCTTCACAGCGCGAACAGGGTCCTCTTTGTTCCTCTCCAGATTCGGAGCTCGGAGGAAGGTCTGCTGTACGAACAGGGCCTGGCGAGCACCTTTGGGGATGTGTGCTGCTGGTGGGTGGGGCCCTCGTACGCGGTCATTCGCATCTTCCACCCCACCTACATCAAACCCGTGCTCTTTGCCTCAGGTAGACACCCCCCTGGCCACAGCTTGCTCCTCGCTGAGGTCTTCGTGCTGCCTCCTGCTGGACAGGTGCCCCAGGTGCTGACAGGAGGGGCTGTGGTGGAGAAACCACTGCCTCCGCTTCACCTGGACCCCCACCTGCCCCACCTCTAGTCATGTCTGTTCACCCCTGGGTGACATGTTCCGAATGGCCGTCCCTGGTCACATTTATGTTTCCACGTGTGTCCTAGTGACAGCTCATAAATGTTATACCTGGGGTCAAAGGGAGCTGGCCTCAGTCATGTCTGGGGCTCAGCTTGGCCAATGCCTCTGAGGCGTGTTGAGGACTGTCTGGTGGTGCTTGTCTGAGACGCCATTTGAGATTGTCTGGTTTGCTGCTGATCATGTCTGGGCCATGCTCTGGATCTGTCTGGTGTCTGAGACCCAGGGTCCCGCTAAGAAATGTCTGAGACCTTATGTGAGTCTGGTGAAGGCAGGTCCCAGCGTATGCCTGGGTCACACCTGGTTCACATCTGTGACATTAATGGGAACGTATTTAAATACTATCTGGAGATGTCTGATTGTCTTTGATTCCATGTCAGAGTATGTTGCATCATGTCAGGGTCTGTCATGTTTGTTTGAGCCAGGTCAGGACATGTTAAAACATGTTGGGGCCATGTCAGATGTCCCAGCAGATGTCAGAGAGTGCTGGGGAAGATGGGGTGGTCTGAGGCCCATGTAAAGGCATCTTGTAGAGTGTTGTGCTGTGCTTGGGTGTGTACAGCATGTTGGTCCATGTAGGAGCCACGTCAAGGCATGCTAAAACATGTTGTGCCATGTTAAGAGGTGTCTAAGCAATGTAGGAGTGTGTCTTTGGGCTCTGCCTTTGCTCTGCTCTGTGTTACAGCCTGGTCTGGTGTCCCCTCGCCTCCCCACTTCTCGCCATTTCCACTGCCTTTGTCCCATTTCTGCTATGCTGGGTTTGGAGGGGGAATGCAGACCCCTGGCTGGGAGCCCCCTTTCCTCTCCCCCTCCCCTCCATGGTCCTGATGGTTCTCTTTCATGTCAGCTGCCATCGCCCCCAAGGACATGCTCTTCTACAGCTCTCTGAAGCCCTGGCTGGGTGAGTAACAGGGTGGAGCAGGTTGGGGACAGCCTTGGGGGACCAGGAGAAGGTCCTACCTTGCCCACTCCCCATGGCTGCCTCTCCCAGGGGATGGGCTTCTGCTGAGTGCTGGTGACAAGTGGAGCCACCACCGCCGCCTGCTGACCCCCGCCTTCCACTTCAACATCCTGAAGCCCTACATGAAGATCTTCAACGACAGCGTGAATATCATGCATGTGAGCCTCTTGAACTCAGTCAGGATCTCATTGGAGCCCTGGGGGTACTGGGGGCTCAGAGGCATCTTGACTGGCATTCTGACTCTGCTGGGTAGATTTCGGGCCATTGCTTTTCCTTCCTGAACCTCAGTTTCCTCATCTGTAAAATGGGAATAATTTTGTAGTGGGATGATGATATGACGGAGCCATGTCCCTGATCCATAGTAGGTGTTCAGAAGGCATTAGTTTATATGTTTCCCCCACAGAAGCCTTGGCGTTCTGAGACTGGATGGATGAGAATGATGACTATTGCACACTAATTATTGTTGAGTAACAAACCACTTCAAAACAATAAGGGTTGAATTGGCCAACAAGCCTGTGAGCCCATTGGAGGGGTCTTCTGGGTGTGGCTGTGGTTACTCATTACCTGTGGCCAGCTGGGGGCAGCTCTGCTGCTCTGGGCTCAGTCCTTTCATGATAATGGGCCTCGAATGGCTGCATGCTGATTTAGGAAGTTCTCAGCTGGGACAACTAGCCTTGGTTTCATGGGATTCTCTTTCTCTCTCTCTCCTTCCTGGGCATCTCAGGCTGTTCACATTGCAGAGTCAGGGTTCCAAGAGATTGAGAGGTGGCTGCAATCCCTCTTGAGATCCTGGATTAGGATCAGCACCTCCTCATTCTCACCACAGTCTATTGGCCAACGCAAGTCAAAAGGCCACACAGAACTAAATGGTGGTGCAATAGGTTCCAATTCCTAAAGGTAGTTGTTGAAAAACCACATTGTAGAGGGTGTGAACCTTGGACCCAGGTCTCCTGCCTCCCAGCCACGGGCTCTTCCTGCCCCAAGAGTAATAGCTTATATTCCCACTCAAGTCTGGTCCTCCTCGGGGATGGGTGCCTGGGGCAGAGGGCCAACAGGCAGGGTCTGGGGGCTCCATCCAGGTGGTTGGGGTTGGGGAAGGGCTCAGGGGAGCCCCAGCTCGATCCCTTTCCCTGTCCAGGCCAAGTGGAAGCGCCTGGCCTCCGAGGGCAGCACCCGCCTGGACATGTTTGAGCACATCAGCCTCATGACCCTGGACAGTCTGCAGAAATGTGTCTTCAGTTTTGACAGCAATTGCCAGGAGTGAGTCTCTTCCCAGAGCCTGGGAGCATGAGCTACGGGCCTAAGGGAGTAGGTAGAGGGGGATACTGAGCAGGGCAATCCTAAGGGCCTTCCTGGAGGAGGTGGGTCAGGGCTGGACATTGAAGGACAAGGGAGAGGGAAATGAGAAAGAGCCATCCCTTCAGGTAGATAGACTCGTTCGCTAAAGGCCAGGAGGCTGGAATGAGCTGCGTGGGTGAAACAGTGAGGAGAAGTGAAGTGAGAGGGCTTAGCAGGGGTGAGATCTCTGGGCCATTCATAAGTCAGGAAGTGGGGTGTGATCCTTATCCTGAGGCTTCCCGGGAGCCATGGACGGCATCTGAGCTGACGCGTGTTGTGACCCACGCTAAGCTTGGACATCTCACTCTAGGGAAGACCAATTGGATGGTGTTGACTTAGATGCAAGGAGACTAGGGAGGGGGCGGGGCCCATTGGCCAGTTAGGAGAGGATGAAGTTTGAGCTGCGTGGGATGTTCAGGGAAGGGGAAGGGCAGGTACTGGGGAGGAGAGAGAAGAGAGGAGCATGATGTCTATGCGTGGCTCCGGGTGCCTGGGGCATGGAGGCTGCTCAGGGAAAGTCATGTTTCTGGGTCATCTCACCATGTATCTGCAGGGCTGTCTGATCCTGGCTTCTCAGTTGTTTCCTACTGGGAGGTAGCTCCTGGCTTCTGGTAGGGGGACCACCTCAGGCTATAAGTGAACCAAGTCGTGGCTTCCTTCCCTCCCCTCATCCTACAGGAGGCCCAGCGAATATATTGCCGCCATCTTGGAGCTCAGTGCCCTTGTGACCAAACGGCACCATCAGCTCCTCTTGTACTATGACTTCCTGTACTACCTCACCCCCGATGGACAGCGCTTCCGCCGGGCCTGCCGCCTGGTGCACGACTTCACGGATGCTGTCATCCGGGAGCGGCGCCGCACCCTCCCCGATCAGGGTGTGGAGGACTTCCTGAGGGCCAAGGCCAAGGCCAAGACTTTGGACTTCATTGATGTGCTCCTGCTGACCAAGGTGGGCTTTTTGGGCATCGGAATGGAAAAGGAAGAACGGACCTCGATTTCCAATGTCAAATTGAAGAGCTGGGATTTGATGCAGGGGGCACAGGGGAGCCATGGAGGGTGCTTGAGGAAGGGAGGGATAGTCAGGGATACGTTTTAGAGAAGACTGTGTGCAGTGCAGCCTGTAGGGGATTGCTAAGTTTGAAACTGTGGTTTTATTCTATAATACTTCTAATAAGTTAGTTTAACACACACACACACACACACACACACACACACACACACTATGAGACGGTGCACAAAATTCATGCACGGGGGTGTGTCCCTTAGCCCAGCCTGCACCCTCTCCAATCTGGGACCCCTTGAGGGATGTCCAACTGCCCGTTTCGGCCAAATCCCAATCCCTCTCACAATCCAGAACTGCTGGCTCCCTACTGCTCACCTGCCTGCATTCCTGATTTCCCCTAACCGCTTCTGCCTGCCAGCCTGATCACCCCCTAAACACTCCCCTGCCAGCCTGTTTGCCCCTAATTGCCCTCTCCTTCAGGCCTGGTCACCCTAACTGCCCTCCCCTGCAGGCCTAGTCACCACTAATTGCCCCCCCCCCCCCCCCCCGCCGCAGGCGTAGGTTCCCCGCGGGGTCCCCCCCCCCCCCCCCGCAACTGCCCTTCCCTGCAGGCCTGGTCACCCCCAACTTCCCTCCTCTGTTGGCCTGGTCACCCTTAACTGTCCTCCACTGCTGGCCATCTTGTGTCCACATGGGGGCAACCATCTTGTGTGTTGGAGTGATGGTCAATTTGCATATTACTCTTTTATTAGCTAGGATACCAGACTGTGGATCAGAGCAGCCCATTATTACTTATAGCAGTAATAGTAGCCAGATCAGAACTACAGCCCTGGTTCCCCACTCCCACATTCTTCTGAGGGCTACACGATATGTCTACCATGCTTGCATCACAGGAAAGGTACTATATCTTTTGAATCTTAGAACTTACATGGGACAGCTGGCACATCTGCCCTTTCTTCAGTAGGTGGGGGGAGGAAAAGAGAGGGGAAGGAGAAGGAGAAGGAGAAAAAGGAAGAGGAGGAGGAGGAAGAGGGGATTGTTGTGGTTTTGGAGCATAAACAAATCCTTTGAGAAGGTTCTATAGATTTATAACTCATTCCTCATGTCCAGGCAAGGTAGAGCCTCTGGATTGACCATCCTAGAATGTGAGCCACTGGCTCTGGAGCAATGCTCACTTTCTAATTCCACGGCAATTCAATCATCTGTGACCCAGGTTGCCAGTAACGTTTTTAAAACCAGCAAGCCCTCTCCACCAGGAGGCAGTGAGGCCAGGAGGAGGCCTGTGGGTCGAGGCCTCCTGGTGCTGGTGAGGAAGGAGGCCTAGGAGTGCAGTGTGGGCTTCAGCTTCTGAATGGACGATGGAACCTCAGAGTTTGCCTCAGGGGCCATCAGAGCCGGTGTGATTTGGGGAGTCCTGCTTTCTCTCCAGGATGAAGATGGGAAGGGGCTGTCGGATGAGGACATCCGAGCTGAGGCTGACACCTTCATGTTTGAGGGTAAGGGTCCTGGTGTGGGATTCCAGCGGGGGAGGGATCTCTCTATCCCAGGGACCTGGCAGGTGGGCCCTGGTTCACCCCACCCTGCCCGATCCTCCCCACCCTCCCCGAGGGCCTTACTATGAGGGCACAGCCCACCCTCTGGCGCTGCGGTAGCCCAGAGACCCCAGCCCATCTGACCGCCTCCCAGGCCATGACACCACCGCCAGCGGCCTCTCCTGGGTCCTGTACAACCTCGCGAAGCACCCGGAATACCAGGAGCGCTGCCGGCAGGAGGTGCGACAGCTGCTGGGGGACCGTGAGCCTCCAGAGATGGAATGGTGAGTGCGGGTCAAACAGGTTAGGGCCGGGCTGTCTCTTTTTACCTAACTGGGCCAGGTCAGTAGATGCATGCCCCTTCCTGAGCCCCTCTGATGGGCTCTGCCCCCAAAGTGGGGGAGAGGGAAGACCTTTTTGTGGATTCTGCCACTGTGTCCTCCCATTTAGTGGGAACGGAAGCAGAGGCCAGAGGCAGGGTCTGGTACCCAGCCTGGATAGCAGGGAAGAAGTTACAGGCTTTTGGGACAAAAAAGATCTGGGCTGCTGAGAAAGTTAGTGACCATGTGGAAAGGCATATTCACTGAGTCCACTCCCTTCCTGTCCTCTCTGATATAACATTTCCTTCCCCAAATATCTTCACAACCTGAATACTTACTTATCTCTTGCCTCTTAATCTCTTCCGTATTGTTCAGTCCAGGATTCATAGGGAACATCTAGGCATAAAGCCACTCAATTCTTGTCCAGTTACACCTGGATCTTCCCCCCACCCAGTCCCGATTCAACAAACACTGCCACACTGTCCCCCAATCTTCAGCTCGGTGCATTCTGGGAGTTCCCAGCTGGTGGGGGAACAGTCCCAGCCCAGGGGCAGGAGTTGACAGGAAGATGGGCAAGGCTGAGGGCGGAAAGAGCGTGTCTGCTGTGACCCTGAATGCCGATCAGTCAATGTTTGCATGTATCTACTGACCTGGCCCAGTTAGGTAAAAAGAGACAGCCAGGCCCTAACCAGTTTGGCTCAGTGGATAGAGTGTCGGCCTGCGGACTGAAGGGTCCCAGATTCGATTCTGGTCAAGGGCACATGCCCTGGTTGCAGGCTTGATCCCCAGTAGGGGGTATGCAGGAGGCAGCCAATCAATGATTCTCTCTCATCATGTTTCTATCTCTTCCTTTCCCTTCCTCTCTGAAAGCAATAAAAATATATTTTAAAAAGGTAAATAAACATTCTTCTTAATCCTCACCCTAGGAGTAATTTCCACAATAATTTCCCGTGTGTTCTTTCAGGGGTAGTTTTATAGTTTTCCAGTTATGAACCAGTTAACTATATCAGCAATTAGAAGTTTAATTCATCACACAAAAAGAAGGAGATTAAAGAAAAAGAATTTAGCTCTTCCAGTGGATTCTCTTGTCTTCTAATTATGAAATCACCATCTGCCAGAAATGGCACATTTATGCCCACATTCGAGTTATATTCTTCTCCTTTTATCCTTTGCCTAACTGCAATAGCTACTATCTCTAGTATCGTGATAAGTAAAATATTGGATGTGTGTTTTTTTCTTTCTTACTCATTTGCCTTTTGATTTTGCTCTCTTGCCATAAAGAATATTTTTTAATGCAAATTTGTAAACCTTTTTATGGTTGGCATTATTGTGTTGCTCAGAAAAGCTTCTGGAATTTTCCCTAGTAGTTTTGTGACACTGATTTTCTTTTCTTTTCTTTTTAAAAAAAAATATTTTATTGATTTTTTACAGAGAGGAAGGGAGAGATATAGAGAGCTAGAAACGTCAATGAGAGAGAAACATTGACCAGCTGCCTCTTGCACACCCCCTACTGGGGATGTGCCTGCAACCCAGGTACATGCCCTTGACCGGAATCGAACCTGGGACCTTTCAGTCCGCAGACGGACACTCTACCACTGAGCCAAACCGGTTTCGGCCTTTTCTTTTAATTTTAAACCACTTTATGGAAGTGTGATTGACATACAGAAAGGTGTGCACATCTAATGTACACAGCCCATTGAGTCTGGAGATATTCGATCCCTCTGGAATTTATGTTGCACAGAGAGACGATCTCATGGAGCTGGGAAGTGGTGTGTGTGTGTGTGTGTGTGTGTGTGTGTGTGTGTGTGTGGTGGTGGTGCCTGGCTTTGCCGTGAGTGGATAACTGTGTGGGTTTTTAGGGACGACCTGGCCCAGCTGCCCTTCCTGACCATGTGCATCAAGGAGAGCCTGCGCCTGCACCCCCCGGTCACCGTCATCTCCCGCTGCTGCACCCAGGACATCGCGCTCCCCGATGGCAGGGTCATCCCCAAAGGTGCTGGCCGTGACGGGGGGAGGAGCCACCCCGCAGAAAGAGGGGCCCCTCAGGCAGGGGGCCTCCTCCCGACTGACCCCTCCTCTCCCACAGGTGTTACCTGCCTTATCAGTATTTTTGGGACCCATCACAACCCAACTGTGTGGCCAGACCCTGAGGTGCTGCGTCCCCCTCCCTCATCCTTGTCCACTCCCTTGGAGGGACCTGGGAGGGAGGGGGTAAGCAGGGTTCTGACCTGGCAAATCAGACATCACCCCCCTCATCATACATCAGGCTGCCCCTCCAAGGCAGGCTTCGGAGACCCCACCCAGCAGCCTGTCTTGGTCTCGCCCTCAGGTCTATAACCCTTTCCGCTTCGAACCAGAGAAGATCCAGGAGCGGTCACCGCTGGCTTTCATTCCCTTCTCCGCGGGGCCCAGGTGAGGGTGATGGGGCAGGGACCTGGGGCTGAGGTATCAGAGGGCAGTGAGGGCGGGAAGTGAGACTGAAGAAGGACAGAGCCTCCCTCTCCTTCCCTTCCCTTCCCTCCCCCGAGGTTAGGGGGGTTGGGTGGATCCAAGGAAGGAACCCCGATGTGCTCAGAGCCGCTTCCGCCTGCGTGCTGCTCCGAGTTTGGGGCTGGAGCCAGGGGATCTGCCAGCCTGCACGGTTCCCAGCACTGTAGGCCCTCCCCATCCCGGGCACAGCAGCCCCTCCCATCCCGGGCACATAGCCCCTCCCCATCCCGGGCACAGCAGCCCCTCCCCATCCCGGGCACATAGCCCCTCCCCATCCCGGGCACAGTAGCCCCTCCCCATCCCGGGCACATAGCCCCTCCCCATCTCTGCAGGCGTGGATGGAGTCTTGGGCCAGGGCCCGGGCACCCTCTGAGCCCCCCCTCTCCCTCGCCCACAGGAACTGCATCGGGCAGACGTTCGCCATGGCCGAGATGAAGGTGGTGCTGGCGCTCACGCTGCTGCGCTTCCGCGTCCTGTGCGATGAGGACGACCCCCGCAGGAAGCCTGAGCTCATCCTGCGCGCGGAGGGCGGCCTGTGGCTGCGGGTGGAGCCGCTGAGCACGGACCCACAGTGACCCTGTGCCACCCCGGCTGGGTCAACCCGTGACCCCACACACCACCTCCTTTGTAGGTTCCCAGCAATAAACTGCTGTCTCTTCTGCCCCAGCTTCTCCGAGAGCCTCTAGGAGGCTTTTGAGGCCTGTGGGGACCCAGGGGCTGGGCATACCTGGAGGGGAGGGTGGGGGCGAAAGTGTCCCTGAGCCCAGACCCTGACTGCCTCTGCCTAGGGCTCCACGCTGATAGCGGAAGAAGAGTTCTCCCAGAGACACCTATGGATTTTATAGGGGCAGAAAGAGGGGCACAGTTGAAGTTCTTAGTCACGGAGAACCCATAGAGGCAGATTCATTCCTACAAGTCCCGGATGCCTCCCCAAGCAGTTCGCTGGCGGGCCCAGAACCCAGGGCAGGAGGCCCGGCGTCCTCTGCAGGACTCAAGTTTCTTTCTGCCCTTGTCAGCAGCCCCACCCTGTGCCTCTCCCCTTCTACCCCTCCCCACCCTCAGGTGTGTCTCTCAGGTGACCCCTGCCCTGCCTCTAGGAAGCCCCTCTCTTCCCTTGATGTTGCCCAGGCAGCCTGTCCAACAGGTACTGGTTGAGGCCCCATTGTGTACCAGGCACTCTCACAAGAGTGTTTGGAGTGCCCCCAAACCCTCATCCCTGACCTTTCACCTCCAAGTCCCTCCTTGGGGTGGAGTGAGGGCAGGCCATCCTTTGACCTTGAAGCTCAAAGCCAGACTGTTGTAAACCGAACCTCCCCCCAAGGGTACGGGTTCCAGAGTCAGACTGCTTGGCTTTAAGTGTCAGCTCTGCTGTGTGCCCTGGGCAAGGCCAGTCTCTTTCTGTGCCCTGGTTTCCTCTGTGCAAAGAGGCAGCAATGTGTATCTCAGGGTTGACTACCTGTGCTTGGTGAACAGTAAATGCTCAATAAATGTTGCCATTATTACTTTCCTCTCAGAAAGCCTGCCTCTTCTTAAGTTTATGTCTTAATTTTAATTTTATTTTTTTAATTACAGCTAACATTCAATATTATTTTATACTAGAGGCCTGGTGCACAAAATTCGAGCATGGAGGGGGTAGGGTTTGTCCCTCAGCCCAGCCTGCACTCTCTCCAATCTGGGACCCATCGAGGGATGTCTGACTACCTGTTTAGGCCTGGCCCCAAGCACAGAACTGGATGGATAGCCCGATGGTGAGGAAGTGGGAAAAGGGAACCCTCGTGCACTGCGGGAGGGGATGGAAATGGGTGCTGTCATAATGGAAACCAGTATGGAGGCTCCTAAAAAAATTAAAAATGACTACATTATGATCCAGCAATCCTACTTGGGTGTTTATAGGAAAGAACTGAAATCGCTCTTTCATAGTGACATCTGCACCCTTATTATTCACTGTAGCCAAGACATGGAAACAACCTAAATGTCCACAATGATCAAAGGATGAATGAATAAAGATAATTTGGGGCGCGCGCGCATACACACACACACACACACACACACACACACGTGCACTCGCACAAATGTTTTTCAGCCATAAAATCAAAAGGAAATCCTGCTTTTGTGATAATGTAGATGGCCTCGATGGGATTATGCTGAGTGACATAAGTCAGAGAAAGACAATTATGGTACAATCTCTCTCACATGCACAGTCTAAAAAAACCAAAATTGTGGAAACAGAGTGCGTTTGTGGTTGCCAGGGGCTGAGAGTAAGGAGAATGAGAGGTGTGACAGTTGGCCAGTCTGCCCAAGAGATAAGGACTCTGGAGACAGACCTGGCCAGGGGGGAAAAGTTAAAAAAAAAAAAAAAAAGTCAGTTGTAACTCAGTGCCAAGAATTCCTTTGTAGTAAGATATGCAGACCTCCCTCCAGACCTGGCTAGGAGATTGGCCATCAAAACAGCAGCATCCTGCACTTCTGTTTGAAGTCAGAACAGACATTCTGCTTGAGGCAAAAACAGGCCAGGTAGTGTAAACCAGTGTTTCCCAACCTTCTCTCATGATGAGAATCACCTGGTGGAGTTGTTAAACCACAGATTCCCGAATCCCAACTAAGAAGTGCTAAACTAGAATTTTTGAGAACATATAGGTAAAATTGCATACCTAACTTAGTGCTCTGTATATAAAATCTGTCTTAGAGCACTAGTTAAGTATACAATTTTACCTATATGTTCCCAAAAATTCTAGTTTAGCACTTCTTAGTTGGGATCCGGGAATCTGTGTTTTAACAACTCCACCAGGTGATTCTCATCATGAGAGAAGGTTGGGAAACACTGGTGTAAACTACCCGAGAAATAGCTCAGGAAGGCCAGGTCTTTGTCCTGAGGGGCCAATCTGGGAGTGACATACCAACGGTGGGAGGGGTGGGGAAAAGAGGTATAAGAGGAGGGACTGCCCCTCCATCGGGGCTCTCACCTGGGTGCTTGCCGGCTGCTGCGTCAGCCAAGGTTTGAGCCCGGATTCGAATCTGTAATAAACTCTAGCATGCTTAATCAAATTGGCTCCGGTGGTTCATCTCTTGGGGAACTCGCTTCGTAACAAGAGGATGTTGGTCAAAGGTTACAAACTGACTGTGTCTGGTGCCCCACTCATTCATGGGGACTACACAACTCTCATGAAAAGTAGGTAAGGCTACTTCTCTATGAGCAGGAACAGCAATAACTGGTTTCCACCAGAAAACAAAAAGCATGTGGGTGGTGGGAGAAAGAAGCCCTTTTTTCCCTCAGTGGGGTCAACGGCCTAGAGCAGTGGTCGGCAAACTGCGGCTTGAGAGCCACATGCGGCTCTTTGGCCCCTTGAGTGTGGCTCTTCCACAAAATACCACGGGCTGGAGTCTATTTTGAAGAAGTGGGCGTTAGAAGAAGTTTAAGTTTAAAAAATTTGGCTCTCAAAAGAAATTTCAATCGTTGCACTGTTGATATTTGGCTCTGTTGAGTAATGAGTTTGCTGACCACTGGCCTAGAGGAACTGAGATGACGCCTGTCTGTGCAAAGAGCAGATGAAGTAAAATCACACACAAAAACTGGAACTTTCGAAGCAGGAGAGCCTTGAGGACATGGTTTAAGTCCCAAGGTAACCTCCCCCAAGTCCTGCATGTCTTAGTACAGAAGTCACTGCATGTCTGTTGGTTTAGGAATATAGATGTAGATCTCCTATCTCTATCTCTATCTCTATCTCTATCACTATCTCTATCTCTATCTCTATCTACATATATTTTTTGCCTAAAATTGACATTTCTGCCCCTGATTTTGAAACAGTCCCCACCAACTCAGAAAAGAAAGTAGGGGTCCATCTCCCCTTCCACCCTTAATGGGGGAAGGGACAGCAATCTCTGTCGGAAGCCTCCCTTTCTCCCTGGTCAGTTCCTCTTTAGTTGCCTTTTATCCTGAGAAAACACCTCTTTCCCTGCAGCCCCCCGACCTCAAACAGTCACTCAGGGGTGTGTGTGTGTGTGTGATATAACAATTTCAGAAACATGGGTGCATTTAGTTCAATGCTATAGGGCACATGATTTGAAAACCACAGTATGTCTTTCATTTCCTTTAGCACCACAATACAAATGTGTAGCCCTTTGATTCACTCACTCATATGCTCATGAATTATTTTCACTCCAGGAGGAGTGAAACCAGAAGGCAGGGGACCTTGTTTTACTTGGTGCCTGGATTCCTAGAGCCTGGCGTACAGAGAGGGCTCAGTTCAATGTTGGCTTGGATGCACGACTGGATGAGTTCCAAAGCACGGGCCTGGGCAAATGACGTAACTGACTGTCTGAAACCCCTGCTGAACTCGGCAGAGTGATGAAACAATGCTACCCAGCATTTGCTAATTGCCAGCAAGTTTGGATGCACCATCACGTGCTGGCCAGCTGGTCTCTGTTTAATAAATGAAAGTACTAAATTAAGGGGGTGGGAGAGAAGCCCAACACGTGCCCAGAGGATTCAATGGAAGTGATGCGATGGGTTCTCCTTAGCAGGCAATTAGCAGAAGTCGTCTGAACCTGTGCCTCCGGTCCCACCCCAGTGCCCACTGAGCCCATCAATCAAGGTCCCTGGGCATTCTTCCTTGAGAACACAGATAGGTTAAAAGTATTACAGAGTTACTTGCATTAAAAAGCCCCGTGGGATATGCATCCTGCACATGCAGCAAACCTCTGCAGGCACCATAACCCCAAGAAGCCAATTTCAAGTTTTGCTGGTGACAGAGCCAAGAGATTTTCCCTAGACACCTGGGAGCTCATTAAAAGTTGGTTCTCCAGTCCCCACCTCCTGTGTGCAAATTAAATTACCCCTAAGGGGCGCAGCGCGGCAGGCAGATGAGGCCTGCTGCACAGCTCAGGGCAAAGGTTCACCTCACTTCTGAGCGATGATCCCCAGATAGTTTCTCCAAACTTGGGCGCTTGATTAGTACCAAGAGACACGCGTGGGAAATGGAGTTGGCATTCTCTTCCACAAGTTGCTCAGAGTTCCAAATAGCCAAACGCACGATGGCGCTCAGGGCAGGAGAACCCAAAGTAAGCAGCGCCCCTGGTGCTGAGCGAGCCCACTGTGCGTGCCCCCTGCCGATGGCCGTGCGTGGAGGGGGAGGCCTCCAGAGCACAGAGCAGCGGAGGCCCCCGCTGCCATAGCATGCTCACTGCAATGTGTTGTCTAAGCTGCCTGATCAACACCTGCCCTTCTCCCCTGCCGGGAACCGATCACCGTCCCACCAATAGAGAGAATGGGACAGGGAATCCGGAAGGCTGGTCAACCTTAATTGCTCTGAAAGGTCGGAGCTAACCACTCATTGTTTAGTTGAGACAGTAGTAGCGAAAGCAGCCTCCACCTGTTAGTCTTTTTTTTTTTTCTTTTTTTTTTTTTTTTTACAGTATATTGTTCTCTTTTATTACTATTGCTAATCTCTTACAGTGCTTAATTTTAATTTAGAAATTAAACATTATCATAGGTATGTTTGTACCTGGATAGGAAAAAACATGGTGTATATAGGGTTTAGGATTGTCCGTGGTTTCAGGCATCCAATGGGGACCTTGGAACGTATCCCCCACAGATAAGGGGGGACTGCTGTATAGAGACCTCAGCTTTCTTTCCAGGTGGCTAGACTGTGAGCAATAACCACTTAGCTCCACTAAAGCATCACACGGGAGCCCCTTGTTCGTGTGAGAGGTTCCATGTTAATGCTTGCTGATTGGCTATTATTGGAATTTCCTGCCTGAGGGATATGGGTGTATCCCATAATCTTAATAAAAGGGATGGCAAAGCCAGAGCCAGGAGTAGTCCTCTCTTGGGCCTCCGCTGGCCCCCATTTCCCAAATTAATGCTTTTCTAGTCTCTTTTTCATTTGTGTGCGGTCTTCTCCAGAACCCGAACCCTGAACTGGAACCCTGAACCACAGGGGACGTGAAAGGGGTTTCCCCACTCCCCGCCTAGAGAGAGGGCAGGACCACCTGGCCTTGCTCACCATCATGTTCCTGGCACTTAACAGGGACTCTGTCAATACTTGCCGAGAGGAACGGGTGACTCACTGTTATGCCCAGATTTCATGATCCCCAAAGACCACCAGGGAGCCGGGTCCGATGCAAAAGCAAAAGAGTCTTTTTATTTCAGGCTAGCCCAAGCTCACCCCCCACATACCGATGCAGCAGCAAGGTGGAGAAAGAGAGCGGGTTTCTCTAGGATAAAGGATTTATAGGGGTGGTGAGGTCACTGCTTTGGCTGACCCTGATTGGTTGGGTGAGGGCTAGGGTCCAGTGACATAGTGACATAGTTATACAAGATGGAGTCAGGAGTTAACCCTGTCCTGCCCTCTCACTCACAATGTTACCGCTAGTCTGTGGGCGGTAAGATCCTCCTGAAACATGAGTGGACATTCTCTCCCTCAATCTGAAGTGCACTTCCCAGGTGTGATTGACCTCACAGGAGCCCACCTGTTCTTGTAAGGGCATCACGGCCAGGATCCCTGTGTG